GGTATTCAAATACTTAAGAAAAAAAAAAGGATCCGTGATCCGGGGATTCGCCGAAGAAATTCTTAAGGATTCGTATCACCAATATTAGTCTCGGATTCTTTTAGAGACCAAACTACGCCGGCGCGAACGGTCGACTCACGCTTTGACTTAAGCGAAGCGTATGTAAACTGAAACAGACTGAGACTGAAGACCGATTGTTAATATTTAGAAGATAAACGTAAGAATCTACAAATTAATTCAAAGAAAGCAGAAGAGCACCTAGACAATTTTGAGTTGAAACCTATGCCATATTTTTAGGCTATTTTTATAAACTATTCAAAAATTTTATGCGCCTCGTTTTTTACAAAAATCAAGATTCTCTGCTAGCTTCGAACGAAGCCAGCAGAGCACCTCGGTTTTTTAGTTTTTTTTTTCTAAAAACAACCACACCGCCTTTTTAGACCATTTTTAGGCTCTTAAAATATTTTAAAACTTTATTAAAAATTGCTATTTTTAAATAATACAGGGTGCTTTGCTGGAACAAAGTTAGCAGAGCACCTCGGTTTTTTTTTTTTTTTTTTTTTTTCAGAAACATCTACTTATGTCACATGTTTGAGCTATTTTTGGGCTCTTAAAAAATTATAAAACTTTTTGAAAAAATAGTATTTTTTAAAAAATACAGGGTGATTTGTTGAAACAGAGGTGCTTTGTTGGCTTCGTTCGAAGCTAGCAAAACACCCTGTATTTTATAAAAATAATATTTTAAGAGCCTAAAAATATTGTGTTGTTTTTGGAAAAAAACTTAAAGAACTGAGGTGTTCTGCTTGACTTCGTTTTGCAAAAAAAACAGTAGCATAAAAAGAGCTTTAAAATAGCCTAAAAATATGGCTTAGGTTTCAACTCAAAATTGACTAGACTGCCTTCTTTGACATCACAAATAAGCAATAAATGTCCAACTTAAAAAAATCCTAAAATTTAACACTTGCCTTCCTTCGTCTGGTGCAGTCTAACGATTATTTTTGTTTGTAGGTATAATCGATGCACCTCGAAATTTTGGTGCTATGTAAGGCCAACCAATATATTTTTATTTCATTGTTTATTTTGTATTAAAGTAAAATATATTTTTTGTAGATTCTAATTTATTTATGGTTCATATTTATAGAAAAAAAAATAAGTTTATTTTTTTCAACATCTTCTTGTATCAACCATTTGTATTAAAGTCATAGTCGGTAATAGACACATAGTTGATAATATTTGGAAGCATGCATAATACCATGGTATGATGCTGACAGTGATTCGTATTCGTGATGACGCCATCATTGCTACAGTCGTTGCGTTTCCTATCTTGATGTCCCTGACAAAGATTAGGGACGTCCCTGATATCACTATATTTTTTTGTTGTCAAAATTGATTAATTAACGTTTGATGAATCATGATCTGGGCACCTATCCTCGACTAGTGCGTTTAAGCGCTCGCTTTGAAGAGATGCGAGTGGTTCAATGCGAAGACGCATTAGAAACCGTATTCTTAACCCTTCGTAATCCTCTTTTATAAATGCGAATGGCAACTTGGCAACCATGTATGATCGACGATTATTTTTGTTAAATTGACTGCTAGAAAGGGGACTCAAAGTTCACACCGCTTGTTTTGTGAAAATTATTCGCAAAAAAGAAGCAATATTAATATGAGTAGGTAATGGTTTTGAGCATGAAGTCGTGGTTTTGGGTTGTTTTTTGATGTACTGTTTGGCTATACATAATTTGCAGCGTTATAAAATGGAAAAATATTAGTAAAAAGACACATATAATTAACCGAAACAATCTGATAAACGCTTGATCAGAAAGTCTGAAAGGAGCTTTCCTATCATCATAAACTCTTCGAGGATGATTATTTGCCTCTTCTAATTTGTAATAAGATATTTAAAAAAAGTATATTTGCCATCATACCTATATAGGTCACGATCAATTTATGAAACAAAACAAAAACACTGCAATATTAAAACGTGCATCCAGTTAGACCTTCGCAAGCTCTTTGGACCTTCGCATTCAAATGCGAAGAGCAAAAACCCACTCGCTGTCAAATGCGCACCCGCAATATAAATTCGAACGACCAAGAATAGTTACAACACGCTTTTGAGCAAATACGCATTCGCATTTAGTAAATGCGCATTCGCATTGATTAAAGCACCAGTCGAGGATAGGTGCCCTGGGAATTAAAAATATTTTGAAAAAACAAATATCAAACATATCAAAGAAAAGAAAGGTTGTTGTATTGCAATTTATATTGGATTATTGAATGTAATTCTGTACGAGATAATAAAAAGAAAATTGAGGTTCTACTGTATCAGCAATCAATTACTGGTGAAACACACCATACATAAATAATAGGCCAACATGTTAGTATTTATTGATAAATAAATTAATAACGAATTTAATGATTATATATTAAAGATGTAGTAAATTGAACTTAAAGCGAGCCCTATTTATGAGTTTTTAACACATAAAAGTGTAAATATATACAGGGTGTACTTGTACAAGGTACAAAGGTGACAGAGTGGGTGCTATGAACTAACATGGGGTAAAACTCAATAAGCCAATAGGCTTCAGTGTTATTCGGAGACATAGTCAGACGAGCCCAGGAGAAAAAATATATACAGGGTGTTCCATTTATAATAAAGTAGTTTGAGGTCACTTCCGGTATAATCGAAAAATATTTTATATTGATAAAAACGCCCCCCAAAACCCCTCGTAGCAAATTTTCACTCCAATATCTCTATTCATTTATGAGATACAGCTTGAATGAATTAATCTGGGACAGTCTGTATATGAAGACCCTGTTGTAACCCATCACCTTGCATATTCGATGTTGTGTAAATGTTTATTAAATAAAAGCATAGAAATAAAAGGCTTTTGAAAATGGTAATCTTTAATTTCCAATGTTTTGTTGAAAACAGCTTTAACGCAACTTGAGCACACCTGTACAAGATAAATTTTTCTTATACAGCTCTATCCACCTTATTATAAACACGATAGACATAAGGACCAATTTATGCTTGTTCAGAATTGTCACTTCTAAATTTTGCTCTTGTTTCAAAACTTATACGAAGGTATGGATTTTGGAATTAATGGATTCGCTTGCTTCAAGTGTCATTCTATTAACCTAATATTTTTACATTTTTTGTTTATATGACAGGATATCCAACGAAACCATTTTAAAATATTAAATAGTATTTCTTTATTATTTAGTATTTCTTTTATTACTTCTGGTGTCATATTTGTGATTTGGCACAGAAACAACATAAAAAGTAATCTTTCACTCTCAACAGTAGATTATATTAGTTCAATATTTTTTTTAAATGTCTGGCTAGTGGCTATGTTTCACCATATCAACATAAGAAGGCTCGAGTTGTCCATAATCGGAACAAACAAGAAATACATATATTACGATTGTGCAAATATGGAACAAAAACCGAAAAAAATCGCAAAAAACATGCGATACTGATTATACAAAAAAATGCCAAGAAATTTATGACACTGACAAGTTATACCAAAATATCGCAAGTAAAAATTTTACCAATGACAGTTGCAGACAAGCAAATTGGTCATCATGTTTACGATGTGCCTAGAGCATGGTAGGATGGATCTATATAAGACCGACGTTCACTTTCTGTATTGCCAATATTAAAAATTACACGTAGACTCAAACCAAATGTATATGCATAAAATAAGAAACTTAAGATTACACATTAAGTAATTTTGTAAGTTGTAATTTTTTATACCTCAAATATTTACCTCACAGAAATTCGATTCATACATCAAATTTAAGAGAATATCATATCAACTGTCGTTTTATAACAAAAAACTACAATATTTTTGTAATGTACAGTATCTTATAAAATTATATTACAAAAGTAGTAAAAAGCATTTACAAAAAAAAGTGTGTACAATTTTTAATAGGTCCGTTCACTTTTATTTTAGAATGTATTAATCATATATTTATAAAGGTATTAAAGTCATTACAGTATTTTTACCGTTAAGATACTCTAATTAGAATTAAGAGAATTCCTTCAGTGAATCGTTGTGTCAGAAAATCCCTACTTCCCTTTATCCCTACTATCTATATAGCACTGTTGTCGGATCTATCATAATATACTCTTTAGATATGTAATTATGCTATTTTGTACTGTCTTTTCTAAATTATATAATTATTATTACTCAAGTTGAATATTAAGACCATTATGTTGTTCCTCAAATATTATCTCTGGTAAATGGGGCAACGTTGCATGTATTGCTAGAAACTGCCCTAAGAAAAGAGCTAGAAAACTTCGAATTCAAAAAGACATAAGTTTCCAAAGAAAATATTTGACAAAAAATGAGGGGTGTACCAATCTTGTGGAAAAATTCAATATTTTCCTTGTAAGACATTAAAAAAATGTATAAACAAAAATTAAGGGGTAATTTGAAGGCCACATTTTAAAATTACATTGAGGTATATAGGGTTTTGAATAACTTTGGAACAAACCAAACAAATGTTTTTTTAAACAAAAACACCAGATTATACTGGTGTTATTTATTAAGATTGTCGAATGAAGATATAGTTTGAACCTACCTTTCACACCCTTGCACAAAGCCATTTCAATAGAGCTAAGTTTACATTTTTTTACCTTTATGTAATTTCAATCATGAATATTTTTTTGTCTTAAGAAACTCTTAATTCTAAGTCATAGAGTAAATTTAATTAGTAATGTTGTTTCCAGGTTTTTAACATTAATATCTTACGAATACATGCTTTAAATGTGGTGGTGCCCATTATAATTTCTATTGGTACTTTATAAAAGGAAATATCCTTTTCTAAAGTATTTTTTTCTTACACCTTTATTTATATTTTTCCTTGTAGTTCTTGGGTTTTTAGGTGTTGGTTGAGGAATGAAACTCGTGTATGTGGGTAAAGCTATTGGCACTGATCAGTGCCTTCTTGAGTATTTTTTTTTTTTTAATATTTGTACATTATTATTTTTACACAGTCTTCTTGTAGAACAATTTTGACTGTGTAAAAATAATAATGTACAAATATTAAAAAAAAAACTACTGAAGAAGGCACTGATCAGTGCCGAAAGCTTTACCCACATAAACGAGTTTCATTCCTCAACCAACACCTAAAAACCCAAGAACTACAAGGAAAAAATTATAGTTTCTAATTGCTTGCGTTATTTCATTCTAATGCCAAAACATTTAATTGTAAAAAACAACTAAAAAAGAATTAATGAGTCACTGAAATTTTTTATAGGAATTTCCATACTTCTAGCATACTACAAGACAAAAAAGTTTAACGAGAGGTGAACCGCTCCCAAAATACTGGTATGTTTTCACAAATCATCGAACTCATAAATTATTTAGAAAAAAGAATTGAAATGATCACAAGATTTCCGAAATCACTTTAAAATATTTTTTTCATATAAACGCAGAAGGTAGTGAATTAAAATATAAATAAAAAGCAAAAAAAGATTGATCAAAAAAGGTCTTTTGAATATTTGTCTGAGAAAACTTGGTGGTGGTTCAAAAATAATGATCATTCATTAGAAATTACATTATTTCGTGGAAATTGAATAACATTTTTGGATTTTCGGCGGAATCACTGAAATCAAATAGAATCATGACTGATTTCGCCGAAATTGTGAAAATTAATAGATATCAGCGAAATTGCTAAAATCTTACGAATTTTTAGTGATTCTCGAAATACGTTTTAATCTTAGTGGTTTACCTCTTGGAGTTTAATATGAAATATGTGATTAAATCAAAATTGAAAATGAGCGGGCCTCTTAAAGTGAACGGGACAATTAAATGTCTCAAAAATCCCAGTATGAACAATTAAAATACAAAAAGAATAATTTGCTTGTATTTGATCACCATATTTTGAATAAAACAAGTCTTCAACACAAATAAAATTATTGATCTTGAAGTTTCAGTAGCTTGATTCACTGTATTTCCCAGATTTGGCCACTAGGAATTTAAATGTCTTAACAAAAACATACAATATTCTGACGTTTCAAAATACAACAAATGTACTTTTCCAATGAAAAAATTATGTCTATATTTGATATATCACAATACAAGATCTATAAATTGACACATTTTAACTATTTCAGCACTTTCCAGAAAAAAATTACATGACAACAATGTATACAGAATTGAAATAATTTTTTTTATGAAAACTGCATATTTCCGTTCATGAGTTTTTAGTTATTAAAATGTATCAATAATTTATAGATGCGACACCTTGTGTTTAATTCACCTGTAGTTAATGGTGTTTATAAGATCCTCTACAGTACAGAAATTGCTCCAACAAAATGTTTATTTGGTAAAAAATTTAGATATATGGAGTAGGGGTAAGCAAAATAATCGATTACTCGAAAATAATCGATTAATTGATCAACCTAAAATAATCGATTAATTAAATAACAGAAAATAATCGATTATTTTAAAGAGTCAGTTCTTTTCCTATTAAGAATTAATGCCCTCCATATTAAAATATGAGAAATATTCAATAGACATGTTAAGAAAAAAAGTTTGGTATATTTATTTATTATACTTTTTTGAACAGTTGGAAACTTACATGCATCATTTTTTATATTCAGCATATTTTGGATATCAAGGTGAATAACATTGTTTCTTTTTATACCAAACGGTTATATAATAGCGATTATATTATACATGAATTATATAAATCATACAAAAAAATTAAATTTTCACATAATTAAAATTTCATACCATAATTGCCAAAGAAATCAAAATTACCAATTTTATATATCATAAAATTTGGAAAAAAGTTTAGACATCTATTTAGAATATATTTCTAACTGTAAAAGAAAACAATGTTCTATTTAAATATAAAAAAAGACGAATTATATGTACATAAATCCATCTAAAAAAGGGCATTTGAATTATTTTAACTAAAAATAAAAAAAACGGCGATATACATAAATTTAACAATGAAATAAATATCGGTAAACAGTTTTGAGACAATAGCAAATTATAGTTTTTATTTGTGCCAAGCACATGACATCAATACCTACAACTTTATTAATAAATAGTATATTGCCATCACGAGTTTATGCACAGTTTATATGTAGTCACATTTCAAAGTTCTATGAATTCGTATTTCGTCTCTACATTTAATAATCATCTAAATCAAAATCTTCTCCATTCTCCAATTCTTCTAGTTGCAAACTCTGGAAGTCTACTTTGTATCGGAGTAAACCTAGAACATATAAAAGCATAGTTAATACTAAAGTAAACATTGGTCAAGTGCAATGGAGAGTTCCACTGCAAAACTGACATTATTTTTTAATCAGTAGCCTAAAAACATAAATTTGTCGAGTGCTATAGTATGTATTGTTGCAGCATGGAAAAATGTTTCATCCCCAACTATTAAAAAAATGTTTCCAAAAAGCTGGATTTATAGAAACTATCAAAGATAACGGAATTTTTAAAGACGGTGTTCCACTGAGTCAATTGTTTTCCAGTATTCAAGAATATCCAGACCTGGAAATATTTATTTGAATCAACTCAGACATTTCAATAGAAAATCCCTGAAAATAATTTAGGAATGCACTAGCAAAACTAACCCAAGAGATTTTTATTTCATCTGGGAAAAATATGAGTGAAGTTTGTGTAAAATTAAGAGACATACATAATTTTTTATTGGGTGCAAAAAATTTGTGATTTGGCACTTGATATTTTCAGTATCCTAACAAAATATGAGGGTGAAGTAACAAAACTGAAAATTTAAATTTAACACTTCAATTGAACAATTTTTTGCAAATTGCATGATTTTAGCATATTTACCAAATGATGAATAATATCACCAGTTTTAGTAGAACAAAGTGTGTAGTTCAACCAAACCAGGAGAAAGAGCTAGATATGCAGCTTCATTTCGAAGGTAACCCCATCCATATTTATTCGCGAATAGACTTTTTTGAGACATTATATTCTCTTTTTGAAAATTATAAATGTAGTATAAATAATGCAGTCGATCGATTAGGTAAAAGTTATTCCAAAATCCAACGTACGTTAAAAAATAACAACTACAGACCATCTAAAATTTTACCTGTACAAGTTTTAATAGAGGATCATAAAAGAAAAAGGCTGAACTTTTGTTGCCAGAAAATTCAAAAATTAGACGAAGATTCCGATTATTTTACTAAAATATTATGGACTGATGAATCATCCTTTTCTGCGGTAGAAGTTTTTAATAGGAAAAATCGTAGGGCGTGGGAAAACAAGCACAACAGAAAAATATTGAATGAAACAAAAAAATCAGGAAGAAAATTTATTAGGGTTTGGTGTGGAATTTTCTGGAACAAAATTTTTGGGTACATATTATTATACTTTAACTGGAGTTACCTATCTGAAAATACTCATCCCAAAAGCAGAAGATATTCTTTTACAGAGTTTTACCGGAAGGCGAATTTGATGATATGATTTGTATATAAGATGGGACAACTCCCCATAGTTCGAGATCATTTGAAAAATGTATTCCCAATATGGATAAAGAGTAATGGAACTAATAAATGGCCACCTAAAAGTCCGGATTTGATCCCTATGCATTTTTTATTTTTAAAGACGTCAATAACAATAATATTCAAGGCATTAAAGACAGGATTATACTTGAAATAAACAATTTGAATATCAATAATGAAGCCATTTCCCGTGCAATTAATTATAAATATGCGAAGACGTTATCAATTATGCATTGACAATAATGGTGGACACATCAAAGATCTTTTATGAGTCATCATTTATTTATATTTTCTAAATAAATCTTTGTTTTCTATCTGGTATAAATATTTGGAATATTTTTCCTCACTGTAAACCATATTTTTTCTTTTTTTTTAAAGAATTATCACATATCAATCATAATAGTTGTCACTTTCATAGTTCAACTAAGATATTTGACATTTATTAATTCAAAAACAGCATAAGGTAAGGGTAACATATACAGGGTGATTCAGAAAAAACTTACGGAGGGACTTTAATTCTTAAAAAAAGCTAAATATAATGTTCCTATCCTACAGGGTGATAAAGTGGATTTCATTAATATTCCCCACAAAAGCGGTCATCCCCTTAAACGGTCAATTTCCAATCAAATTTTTAGTAGCCACTATTGAGAAGTTTTACTGTATTATAAATAAATTTGATGATTTTATTAAAAAAAAGTTCTAAATAAAAAACTCTAATTTTATAACTTAAGTATTACTATAGTTTTGTCTTTGTTTTGATTAGTTATTGTGCACGTTTTTTAAGGTCTGGAACTAAAGCTAATAATATATCTTCAAATAAGTTCGATACAGTGTAGAAAAAAAAATAAATAAATTCAGTAAAAAATGCGGAATCCATAAACATATCAAAAGCTACCTGTTTTGTTGTAGTAGAGACCAATAATGAAGTAAACCTTTAATAATCATCAAGGTCTACATCATCTAATGGTTCGTCAGCTTGCAGAGATTGAAAATCCACTTTGTAACGTAGAATGCCTGATAAATCCAAGCCGCAATAAGAAAAAAATGGCAAATATTAAAATTACATAGTTTTTTATCTACTGTGTGAAAGCTAACTAAAATTATATTAAAGCATGCGATTTTTAAGTCCATTTAAAACACTTTACTAATTATTCTTTAAAAAAAATATTAAATTATCAGCAAATAAGCAATTTTGAAGAAAAATTTGATGAACGAATTTACAGTACGACAGATATATCTGAAGCCGACAAGCTCACATGCACCGTGAATAAAAAAGAGAAGAGTTCAGTTATTTCCGGTTTTTCGAGATGATCACTTGGATCTAAATACATTAAACATGAAGTTGTGAAAATATGTAATTTGTTTTTAAATGTAACGTAGTATAAAACAGAAATAAGTCTCACAAAGTACAAGATTGAATAGTTGACAATAATTTAAAACTACTTGTTTCAGTTATATTAAAGAAACTTACCTTTATTCAACAACTACTTAATCTAAATTTATATTACAATTTAATACTTATATTGACGAGATATATTATGTGAAATAATTAAATTTAATAAACATGTAAAAAGAACAAAATAGTAGATAGAAAAAAGAAAACTGCATGGAGAAAGTATCTTCATACAAAAAAACCGTCGCGGCCTTAGCTATTCCTGTCATACTGTAGAAAAATGCAAAATTTTACAACTATGCATACAACCTGCAAATTATGTAATTGCGTATGTTAAAAAAATAAATAAGATTTTTACCTCCAATTCCACCAAACCCTCGAACGAATTGAGAGCCTTCTTGAGATTTGTCGGTAATAATTTCTAATGTGGCACCAAAGTTCTTATAGTTGTTCGCCAACCATTCCAGAAGAGGCTGGCACTCCACCAATTCTAATTCTACGCCCGTCTAAAAATAAATAATATACTGAATATACATTTTTGCACTTGCCCTAAACAAAAGAATAAAATGTTGAAAATACAAGGCATTTTTACTATAAAAATAAGTAATAAATATACTAAGTACGATGCTGTACAAATTCCAGATACACATTACATTTCAATGAATGAATGAACAGAGAATCTCTTTACAATAACTCTTAAGAACTAAACTATTTGTCAAAAATACATTTATCAAATTATTGAAAATGTATATTGAAATTAAAATCGGGGAACGTGTGGAGAGAATGGTCAGAGCTGCCAGAAGGTTGCTGGCTGGGAGAGTGTTTAAGAAAGAATATAATATTAAAAGCAATTTGAAATAAGGTTAAAGTTAGATGAAATAAAGATTGTAAAAAGTACAGTAAAAGTATAATTTAAAAAGGATGATAAGGAGTTGATGGTAAGAAGATCAGAAAAGACAAATGCTGGAAAAAGCAGGAAGCAAGAGGTGTAGCACTAGAAAAAGGCGAAAGGAGAGAGGAGAACAGATAGAAGTACAAAGTTTAGAAAATGGTACAGACACAGAAAGACAAGAAAACAAAAGGAAGCAGAACAAATAGGTGCAGAAGCAGAAAGACAGTGTTTATTTACATATTTACTAAATTTTAGTTCGTAATTTTTATTGTTTTTATAAATTTAACCATACCCAAGTAGAACAGAAGTAAAAGTTGGAAATGCTTTTGCCAGTTCTCCCACTTTATACACATAACTTGACAGGTTGTCAGCGGATCTCACCGAAGTGGACACGATACATTGGCGTACAAAATTATTTTATAGATGTTAATAACAATTTCGAGTAAATAGTTTAATAAATTGTGAATAGCTGTTGAAATTTTGTAAAATTATGATTTGAATATTATAATACATGTTTAATAATTATTTATAATCCATAAATACATGCGATTGTCCGGTTCCGCCGATAACAATTTAAAATTACTTATTCTATGAAACGACACTGGCAGGTAACATTACTGTGAAATTCTCGGAGCCGCCCGACGTGGTTTGACGTTTACCCCCTCTCTACCTACCAAAAGACTTTTCAACTTTTACTTTCTCTATAGTTAGAAATTGAGGGTATTTAATATATCAATAATTACCTCTTTGTCAGTAAAATGTGATTTGTCCTTTTCTTGTTCAGGAGTCAAATGGAGTATGGTCTCAGATCCAGTCGTATGGTTTTTCAACACATATCTCTGAATATCTAAATTTTCCCAGCAAATAAGCGTCTCAACAGCACCGAGTTCAAGTCCTCTTAGTGTGTCTTCTACTCCAAAACAATACTTTCCGGTGTCTTGACTAATTTCATCAAAGTATCTTCCAATTAGTTTCTTTTCTTGTATGAATTTTACGTTTTGTAATGATTCGGCCGCTAATTCTATTGCCTGGTTGAAACCATTTTCTCCCCCATAAGAAACGTCTACTAATTTAATTACTTTTGCTTGCAGTCTCTAAAATATCAGTATTTATATTAAATATATTTTATTGTGTCACTGGATTGCTTATTCAATAAAATATATGGCCACTGTATTACTGTAGGCGCAAAAACAGAAATTTTTTAAATTAATTAATGTAGTTTTAAAGAATGACATTAAAAAAAAAAACAAAAACAAAAAATAAAGTATGGACTAACTGCTAAAATAGGAAGATATAAATACAAAATATTAGAGTAAAGAAAAGAATGTTTTGTTTTCCTGTGTTATAGGGAAAAAAACTTAAAAATTTACCACAAAATTTCGTTTTTATGCAAGATTCATTGAACAATATAAAATTTTTTTTTTGTTAATATTCCAGAGGTTTATTAAGAAATATATTTTAAACAATAAATGAAACTTTTTATCTAATAAATTTCCCTAGAAGCAGTGGAAAAATGTAGGCCTATCTGAGATTATAATTTCTTCTTTTTTAATAAGTCAAGTTTACCAAAAAAAATTCTGTTTTTATATAAAATTTATTGAAGTATTTTTTGTATTCCAGAGGTTTAGAAATATGAGAGGAAAAGGATACGAAATATCAGTGTACGTCACTGGTTTTATTAATAAATAAATATTTTAAACCAGAAATGAAGTTTTTACTATCAGAAGTTTTACATCATAATAAAATAGTTATAAAAAAAGCAGCCCATGGATAATTTGAAGCATGTCTGAGCTTATAATTGTTTCTTGTCTTTTTAATGATATTTAAAAATTTACTAAACATTTTTAGTTTTTCTGTAAAATTAATTGAAAACTCTAAAAAGCATTTTTTTTTTAAATAATCTAGAGACGCAGAACAGAAAAGAGTATGAAATATCAGTGCACACCACTGGTTTAATAAAAAAAAAATTATTTTAATGCATACTATCTAATAAAGGTCCCAGAATCTTTACATGTTATTTAATATGGATTTATAAAAAAGGTAGACAGTGGAAAAATTCAGGCATATCTGATCCTAATTTCTTCTTCTTTTTTTTAATGACAGTAAAAAGTTTAACAAAAAGTCAGTTTTTATGTAAATTCATTAAAAAATTATAAAAAGTTATTTTTTGTAAATATTCCAAAGGCGTAGAAAATGGGAGCAAAAAGGGTATGAAATATCAGTGCATGCTACTGGTTATTAAAAAATATATTTTAAACCCAGAAATTAAGCTTTAAAGAGAAAAGGGAAAACACCAAATTTTAAACTTAAGCTTTAATCCATTTTGAGGTGAGTTGATTAGATTTTAGACACAGTCGGAACATCTGGAAGGTACTTTATAGAATATATGTTATTTACGGACAAAATTCACCAAATAAAAGTTGCTTGTCATGTGATTCTCTGTAATTTTTGCTCTATACATAATTATCCTAAAATGGTTTTTATTAAAAAAATTTGACAATAAGTGCAAAATTTGAATTTTTAAGTAAATTGTTGAAACCAAAGTTGCTTTTGATGTTATTCTCTATAATTTTTGTCATATATGTGATTTCCCTAAAATGGATCTTACTCGAGATATTTGAGGAAAAGTGCAAATCTCAAATTTTGAAGATAACTCAAAAATGGATAAAGAGGAAGACACCAAATTTTAAAATTAAGATTAAATCCTTCCTGTGGTGAGCTGATTAAATTTTGGTCATAGTCAGAGCATCTGAGGGACTGTCATTTTTTTTACTCTATGAAATATCTGTTTTATACATGATTTCTCTAAAATGGAAAAAAATAATTAGATCCACGATAGCAACTGTTTATTTTTTGTTAAAAAATGTGTTTTTTATGTTTTTCTAACCAGCAAGCACTGTTCTGTGTTAGTTTGTCTTTAGAAAGTTGGTTTGTTTTGCTTTAAAAAAGGTTAAAGTTCAAAATCAATCAAGAAACTTTCAAACAAAATACTTTAGGTTAGTTGCGACAAAGTTCATTAAAATTTATGGCCCTACATATTATGCATAGTGTAATAAAGTTGTGGGAGCATTAAATATTGAGAGATTTAACAAGCATTCTTGCAACCAGGTGTTAATCTTCCTTGTTTTCAAGTATTAAAAAACAGAAATATATCTAAACTTCAATTACTTTTAAGTTGAAATATATTGCTTCGTGTAACAATCAGAATTATAATAAAATAAATGCTCTCAAAAAAAATTTACAAAAAAATAACTTACAGGATCAAACATATCAGATTGACTAAGTTCAGTCTTAAAATCAGCACTACCAGCTAAAATTAGTCCAGCTATATTAGGTTTGTCGTTTGTGATAAACAACTGAGTGGCTACTTCTGCTACTTTCCTGACATAGTTATGTCTCTTTTCCATTCTAAGACGGGCAAAACGAAGAGCTGATTGACCTCCTCTACCATGCTTCTTGGGCAAGTCTACAGTAAATTTGTGCAGTACCTAAAATAAATAAAAAATTGTTTATTGCCCAAACAGGAGTACACCCAACTACAGGATAGCTTAAATATTAAATTAAATATTCTATTTAAGGAAGAGATCATCATGTTTGTTCTATGAGTAGAGAGGTAAAATTTCTGCTTATTTCTCCTATTTAATCATGGTACATAGTTATAAATTAAGTTATTCTAGGAGCTCTGGACAATTAAATTATTAATTAATGTTTATATAAAGATACATGAAATACCGATTTAACAATATATTGTTGTCAATATCATGCTGTGGATAAGTTCTATCTAATTTCCATGCCATGCATATTCCCTAAATAGATTCAATTTGGTAAATATAAACATTGTATCCAGGTGATCAGACAATTGAACAGTTACAAAAAATAAGACCCAGTGTTTTTTGTTTGTTAAATGTGATGAAAAATTAAAATTGCTGCTAAAGAAAACATTGATCTTTTGCTTCATCTACCTTTTTGAGTGTAATATTGTCATTTGTGTAATTAAATTGAGTTACATTACTTTTTGAAGTGAATGTTTTGCAATTACATTTTTATATATCCAAAGGTAATTTATTTAAGTGGAATCAGTTGTACAGTGTACAGCATTGTCAAGTCTTGTTACAAGACATCACAAGTATGTAAAACATAAAATCTGCAAAGAGGACCATTTTGCTTTTAATTAGATTGGTTAAATCATTTATAAACAAACAGAACAATAGTGGAACTAAATTACTACCTTGACATGCACCACTTGTAGCTAAAAATTCATATGACTGGTACCCTCTATATTCAACGAGTGTACAATTAGAGAGGTACAACTGTACAATCTGTGACAGATTTGCATCAAAACCATAATATGAGTCTAGTTTTTTTGAGAAGCATGATTAAGTTTATCAAAGGCCTTCAAGAAATCAGTAAGTATAGATTACATCAAGCTGTAATTTATTATCAATAGTTTGCAAGTATATTGGATAAAGTAACATAAATTTGTATCAGTTGATCTTTTGGGACATAAATCCATGTTGCTGGATATGGATTAATTTTTTTATCTTATGGTAGGTACCTATATCATATTATTATAAATTGCTATCTTGAAACCCATCAAAAAAGTTAATAGTAACATTATTAGCCAATAGTTTATTTGTTGTAAACCTCTTTTTAAAATAGAAAATGAACTTATTTTATAATTTTTCTACAGTCTCAAAAATACATTAGATTTTAATGAAAAATTAAAGATAATTCATAAGTTCTTTAAAAGCATGAACAAAATCACTGACTATATAACTAGAAATATCATCAACTCCACTTGAAGGTTCAGGTTTTAATATTTTTAAGGCACTTAGTGTGTCAGTGTCTATCAAAAGATTTTAATTACAGGATTGCTTTAAAATTTTCATTCATTGTTAAAATCACTAACCTTTTGAAGACTGAAAAAAGTTTACAAAGGCATTTGCAATATCTTGAGGAGAAAAAATTGTATTCCACATCATTAAGAACTCCCTGTATCCTAGACTTAATTTTACATGAAATATATTCATATTATTATGTGAAGGGGTTGGTTTTTAGAACTTAGCACACCTACCTCTCTTGTATTTCCTTGAAGAGTACCAAACAAGGCACCATTACCATCCATGACAATAAAACCAAATTTATTATCATCGGCCAAAAGTGCAGTCAAAGCTTCAGTGTGAAACTTATTGTCACACAAATATAATGAGGTATTAATTGGTTTGAAAGGTTCAAAATCTATGTTAACTTTTTTCTCCTTGCCTTCATCGGTAACAATTGTGCCACAATAGATAACCAATCCATTTGGTGGTACTGCAAATAATTATATTTATTTTTAAAAATATCTCTTATAAATGAGGAGACTCCTACCTTTTGTATATAACTTTAAGCGATGTTGGACTGAAGTTATAGCACCAAGTACTGAAAGTCTATTTACCCGAGACTTAATATTAGAGGCTGTACCAAATTCATCAGCCAACATTTTGCTTACCCTAGAAATTTGATCTTTTGGAGGGATAATAAGAGATATCATACTAGTTCCATTTCTAAAAAGAAAACATCGATTAGTATTATTCCAATATGGTAATTTTTCAATTAGTACCCTCGAGCCAATTCCAAACTTTTGATAAGTTTTTTTATTTTCCATATTTCTACATTCCTATCGGCGGATGTTTCTTCACCAGACATTTTTGATAACTAAGAAATTACAATCGAAAAATAGAAAAACGTGTACGTAAAGCAAAATGGCGCGGTGTCAGCCTCAAAAGCTGATCAACAAGAGATCTAGGAAAGTCACTTTTCACTGGTTGTTAACTCAACAGAACTGGTTTAAACTGGATATCGTAGATTTAACTGTAAATTTAGGTGGAGTATAATATTTCCCTTTGGTGACTTGGCATAACCAAGTATTGAAATCAGGAACCCTAAATAAAATAAAAATTTATAAATCAATCAATTTTTATTTAATTTTTTTATTAAAATAAATTCACCCTGTTGGTTCAGCGTTTTTACTACTTTCTAATTCCGTGATTCCAATAAATGTCAGTCAGTGCCAGTTAGGAGTAGTTCGATGTGCAATAGTCGAAATCATGCTGAAGAGAAGTCAGGCGACGATATGGGTGTGCAATATATAGCACTATACAGCATTGGCTCGAATCCGTAATCCGAAACTCCGAAATATTTTTTGACATCTGTCAAGTCAAATAAATTGACATTGACATATTGATGAATTTGAAAATGGAAAATTTCAAATAAAAAAATACCAATGAAACATACAACTCAATTAAAATATTGGAAATATATTAGTTTATCAATTATCGGAGTAAGGTAATTTTAATCTTACTTTTACTTATTTTTTTTAGGAATTTGTGAAATCAACAGCAGTAAGTAGTAAATGAAAATAGTTTTACTTTTTTTTATAAGGACTATAGGACTATATATATATATCATCAATATTATTTATTATAGAAGGAAACAACCTAAGCAATTGATAATATTTGGCAACCATAATATGTAGACAAGAGAAATTCTGTTATAAATATATTCCTGGACAAAATTATCACTATTTTGCAAATTCATACCCTATAATACATACAGGCTAGTATTATAGGATAAATCTATTGTACAATTTTTTTAGTTCAGGATGGGTATACTATCAAGTCAGACAAACTTTAGAAATTCTGGAAAACACAGTTGACACTAAAGTTTTATTTATAAAAAATGTTCAAATGGAAGGCAAATCTAAAGAAGAAGAATTTATTAATTTTCGTCAGTGTAAATTCTTGGAAAGATATAATATATTTAAAAACACCTGGGACTCTTTAAAGTTTGCTTATGCACGCAGGTAAGATTATGAATTATTACCAAAACCAGTTTTATTAAGTTATGGGAAATTATTCTTGCTTTAACCAAAAAATTATTAATAATGACCAAAATAGTATATCATTTATTTAAAAGTGCTTTCTGAAACATATTTGTTCGAGAATACATTTAAACTAACATTTTTCCATAGGTACCTGATTTATTAGGCTCAAATAAGTTCTAATTAAATCAATATTTTAATAGTTTTAAATAAATACAGGGTGTCCCAATGAAAAGTAGCCCGTTTCCAGAGCTTATAAAAGAGATTTGTAAAAAACACCCTGTATAGGTAATACATAATTTCTGTGTCACTGAAGCAAAACATATAGCAAAATAACACATATCAACGAACCCGCATGTTTCTAGGATTGGGAGTTATACGCTCTGGAAACACCCTGTATATTAGTTCAGAAGTTTTTGGCATCTAATTCTATACCCAAGACATTACAGGCTCTTTAAAAAATAAAGAAACAAGTAAGAAGTTTTCTTCAGTTACAGGGGTGGGTCAATTTTTATATTTCAAAAACCAAAGATGTTACAGACTTTAAAATGGGTATTTAGCAGCCCATTATAATTAATGAAGTTACAATTTAAAAGAAAAGGTTTAGAAAAAATTTCTTAGATACTTGTGTCCTACCAGTTGTTCTTCTATACATTTTATGTTGAATGAATGTAACTCAATCTTGCCTCTCAAAGAAATAGATATTTAATACAGATATTATGTGAGCTCACTGCAATTTTTGGCTGTTATCTGATAAAAAAATGATATATACTCCAAAGGCATGTAATAACATTCTACTTTATCAAACGGCACCTCTGTGCCAATCACTATCATAAGCAAAGTACTTAAAAAAATGTTATGTTCAAAAAATCAGATAATAAGGTGTACCTTAAATAAATAAATAAAGCTGCTTCAGAAGTTTCTTTGCTTTTGAAAACATAAATTTATATTTTAGTAAGATATTTAATTAATTATACATTTCAAAAGTTCCCTATTTGTTTGAATTGTTACCCACATGTACGATGTTTGCTTATAAATTACTGCTCTAGGTTGGTTAGATTGGCAAATACTGGTGATAGAGAATACAGAATGAAAGCAATAAGACATTTGGCAAAAGTGAAGAATTTAGACCATTGGCATTGTTGTCTTTTGGCTAATATGATGAATTCGAAAACGGCAGTTGCTTTAGCTAGATCAGATGCTGCTGAAAAACGGTTATTTATGGACCCTCCTCTTAGATATCACAATTACAATAGGAATATGTTAATTAGTGCTACTAGAGAGTTTCTCATCAATCTCTATGAGCGTTCAGAGCATCCATGTCTTAGATATTTTTTGTCTGAAGCATTTGTCTATGAACATGTAAGTAAATTAACATAATACTCATACTGTTTTAGTTAAATATATGGTGGGTAAATAAAATCATTTAAAATCGATAACTCTTATTTGTATTATATGTAAATCTGGGTTAACTTTTTAATGCTGCATAAAGATCTATTTTTATAGTTTCACAAAAACATTCCTGTGATTTGTTTTACATGCTAGCTTTGGATTATAGATCGTCTGGAACAACAGGTAATGATAATGAAAATATGAATTAGACAAAGTATAATAGGAATATACGTGAAACAAACAAAGAAACTGTTAATTTGACATCTACATTAACAAGGCAATGAAGATTTATTTAAAAAATATGCCAGACTAAATAAAACGCATTTCTTTCCTGACGACTTGGATTACAGTGATGTATTTTTCAAAGTTTTATTCAAAGAAGCCATAAATATATTCCAATGATAATATTTTGATACTAAATTTAAAATTAATTTTGAACCGAGCGGATCATACCATTACACACCTTTGGTACAGTATGTAGTAAGGCAGTTCTCGCTGATCAGCAGTCTTTGTTTGATATACATATGCCTGTATTGTACCTTGTCTAATTAATTGTAAAATAGAGGGTCCATTGTTAACTTTTTGTATCTGTATAAAGTCTATAATTAAAGGATTTCATCATTTTACTTATTTATATTATTTTAGGATAATACTCACATTGTTGATCATGATTCATCTTCTTTAGAGCTACGAAAATTTATACAATCTGAAATAGACATTTTGCCAAAATGTCTGGAATCGATTTTGCATCATTGTAGCATTGAAAAGTATTCCAGAGATCTTGTAAAGTCCAACGGGCTACAATTAATGATGGAAATATATCAGAGGTATCGCGATAATATGGATATCACCACGAAATTATGTCAGATTATTTCTTATGTATCTGTCAATAGAGATTTATTGGATCAAATTTATAAGTCTGGCAAGTATCTGGTAACTAATAAAAATATCAACAATTTTAAAATAAACTGGAATTTATAATAATAATAATAATTGTACAAAAAAAATTGTAACGCCCATGGTATATATAATATATTATGTTCATGTAATTCAATAACGTCCTGTATATTTTCTTGTATCAAAATAAAAAGTTTTTAATAAACGTTTATATAATATTGTTTGTTTCAACATACACAACGAAATACCATCAATATATATTTTTTTAGGTTGGATAGGTATTCTATCAGAATGGGTGAATCATAAAGACGTCACAATTTCAGTCCCTGCAGCACGTGCTCTTGCCAATTTGGATTTAGATAATGAATGCGTTTATTCTCGACGATTGTATCTCTTACATCCCCTAAGAAGAACAGTTGGAAACCATAATATGGATGTAGTATTCATTCACGGTTTACTGGGGGGCGTTTTTTACACTTGGCGACAAAGAAAACAAGTTGATGTTCAGAAACTCTCAAATTTAGATACCAGTAAGTAGAAGAAAGTAAAAATAATATACTTTATTATCAGAGAGATAATAAAAAATTCCATGAACAGAGTTTAATACTAATTATAATTATGTAACATATAGATGTTAATGTTAATACTACTAAAAAATATAAAATCTGATACTATGTATTAGGAGCTGTTTAAATGATTTATATGAATGGTATAGAATTTTATACACAGATATTTAGCTTAAATTTTTCTTGGGTATTGCCAAATAACAGTAGAAACTACGATAGCTTTATAAAAAGTGAACATGCTTTAAATCCCACTCTGTTTGCATGTCGAAGTCTGTGAATAAGATCGGCCGGCGTCATAGGATTGCTTCTTCTGGTTTCTCTCTTTTATTCTCGCTTCATGAATATTCTTTTTCCTGTTGCTCCTTATAGTTTGGCACCATACCCAAGAAAAATTGTCCTCTTGAGTTCACTTAGGGTGGATGTCACAAAATACAAAATTTTCAGGAAAGCAAGATAAACATCCACATCTGCCATGAGTTCACTTAAGTCACGAGTGACAACATACTTTAGTGAATTGTGTAGTATTCTTTTTAATTCTATGGACTTCAGCTGTAGAGTTGTAAAATAGTAGGTCTGTTCCAACAACGATCAGCAACCAGTCACTGACACCAGGATTCTGCGCAGTATATAATTTGGCGGTCGAAATAATCAACTGCGCAGAATCCTGGTGTCAATGAATGGTTTCTGATTGTTGTTGGAACAGACCTATAGATTGAAATAAGTTTGAAGACTGTGTATTTGTTAATAATTGGATATCCGCTCTAAGTGAACTCAAGCGGAGAATTTAAGTCGAATATATATTTATTATTTAGTTGTTTATCAATTCTCTAATAATATATGTCTTTCACTATCTAACAAAAAAATTTAAATTATTTTTTCATGAGTTTTATGGAGTTAGTTTTTTATATACATGTTGTATAGATATCCAGGTATTAAATAAGAAGTTAATATATGTTGTTACCACGGAATAGTATTTCTTTTTTTAAATATTATTCATTAAATTGCAAATTCACTAAAAAATTTTATCAAATTACATTTCAGAACGATTAAATGATGAAAAACAAGCTGGTTCAGACTCGCAACTTCCAGTTGAGGCGTTAAAAGACATTACAGCCGTTGATAGTATCAGCAAAGACTTTGAAATAGTTTTGGATGACCTTCCGGTCAATGCAAATCAATCTTGCCAGGGTCCGTTCTGTTGCCCGGAGGCTGACTACAAAATAATAGATAATAAGGTTGATTCAACTCAATGTTGGCCCAAAGACTGGTTACCTGAAGACGTTAAAAACATAAGGATTATAGGTATTTATTCTATTTTTTTGGGCGGTTTTAAATCATCTTCTGAAAGGTCCATTCTAAAAAAGATTGAAATTATTTTTAGGTACCAGGTAGTATTCAATATTTCATCACCTCATTAAATAATAGTACAGTTATTTATTTAAAAGAGAAAATGTGACTAAAAATAGATTAAAAAGGTCCTTTTTAAGAATTGTGAACAATTTTAACAAGTAAAATAAGAAATTTTCTAAGTGTAACATTATATTCGTTGTATTATCAGGTATTAATTATGCGACAAGAGTATCCATGTGGGCTCCAATCTGCCCATCAGTGAAAGTTAAATTTACTTTAGAAGAGCGCAGTTCTGATCTACTTTTGAAGCTTGTAGAGGCTGGATTGGGATCAAGACCCATTGTATGGATTACCCATTCGATGGGTGGCCTCATTGTTAAAAATATGCTATGTAAAGGTAATCTAACATTTATTTATTTAAACAATTTGTTTGTTGAGTTTTCACTAAAACATTTATTTTATAACACAATTTATTTGTTACAAATACAAAACTAATTTATATATCTTTAACTAATGCACTAATTTATATTGACATTCAAAAAGGCTGGTATTATATTTACCTAAACAGACTTATTTATATAGGGTAGCGACAAAAACTGACACCAAAGTATTTTCTTTGAAACAAATGATTAATTATAAAATTATAGGTTGATGACTATTCTGGATTTTTTTAGAGGACATGTTAAATTTATGTAATGTCAGCGTTTAGCGGCGTACCACTGCCATCTTGAATTTTTGAAGATGGCATCGTAGTTCGAGTGATATATCATAGAGAAGCTTATTTTTATTCTTCTTTTCGAGAATACTAAAAAAGTACCAAATTACTAATCTAATACAGTACCATTCATCACCCTAAAATACATTATTGCCAGACTTTTTCGCTACCTTGTATACAAATGTTACACATGTTTTCGAAAATTCTAAACGTCCATCCACTAAGAATAGGCCAGAACCAGAACATACATCGTCGGATCCACCATTTATTATACTGATGCATCTGGTATTTTCTAGAATATTTAGTAGACCGGCGATTAGGAAACATAGACATATCACAGGTTGACTTATTTCATCGAAGAAAGTGGAGGCCGTAAAAGGTCCAAATAAGGCAGAAAGGGACTTAGGCGATTAAAGCATGATCGGACTGTGAGAAAATAGCTAGCATGATAGTATTTTTGTGTGAAAGTGAATTTTTGTCTTTAAAATATTGCTTTATATAAAAAAATATATTTTACTTTTTATGTCCTCAAATTTAAAGTTCATTATCATTTTTAGCATACGAAAGTAATATACCTGAAGTAAGGAATGTTTGTTTAAATACAAAAGGTATATTTTTCTACAGTACTCCACACAATGGTTCTAGGTTAGCTAATTTGAGCCGTTCTACAGCTCTACTACTTTGGCCTTCTGTTGAAGTTCAAGAATTACGAGAAAGTAAGTACACAGCTAATAAAATAATAGAAAGGTTCTCACGTTTCAATTAAAAAGTAGATGGTTTGGAATATCTTCATTTGTTATTATTAATTAGTGTTTTTAAGGTTTTCTACATTTCTATTTTCTAAAATGATCTTCATTATTAAAATAATACTGTTTCTTTATTTTATTGACTTTTTAATTTTTATTTATTTTTTTTTAACGGGGAGCAACAAAGTTTTTCCTTGTTTTAGATTCACCTCAACTAAAAAACATGCACGAAAAGTTTCTGAACATTGTAAAGTCTGTTCCCATGAAGATAGTGACATTTGTTGAAACGAAATCGACTTTAGTAACCGCTATGAAATTCAATTTTCTATTAGTAGAGCCAACATCTGCAAATCCTGGTATTGGAGAATATTTTGAGGTTCCGCAGGATCATCTTAGTATTTGCAAACCAGTGACAAGGTATTTTTTTATGCTTTAGTGTCTTATTTATTAAAAACAATTAGCCCTACAATAAAATCAACATTTTCCATATAGCAGTAAAGGTGAAGATTATACTAACATGTCTTATATTGTGGAAAACCGTAAAAACAACCTGGAATCGTCCTTTGAAAACTATTATAATTTTAAAAAAGCCAATTTTCCACTAATGAACAATTTAATTTCCAGTATTGATTGGACATTTTTAGAAGCCTTTAATAATGCAGAAAACGCTTGTACATACTTTTATGGAAAGTTGTATAATATTCTTGATAAATGCTGTCCCAAATATTCCTGCAAGCATCAAAATAAATATCCAGCGTGGTTTGATAGAGAAATAATTAATCAGTTACGCGTTAAAATTAATATGTGGAAAAAATACAAACGAGAAAATGATTTAGAAGCCTTTGAAGACTTCAAACGCATAAGAGCTGCTTTAAAATTAGAAATAGACATTTCTTACAGAGCATATATTAAAAAGGCTGAACAAGAGATATCTAGTAATCCAAGTAAATTTTGGGCATTTATAAATAGTAAGAAATCACAATCCAAATCCCCTCAAATAATGTCTTATGACAACAAATCAGTAAAAACTCCATTAGATATTCTCAATGGATTTGCTGACTTCTTCAAACAGTCATACATTACCTCTAGCCTGTTTATTGCTAATTCAAATTCACGACTCAATGTTCCGTTCCTTAATGTCAATAGTTTTACCGAAAAAGAAGTATATCGTCGTTTTACTTTTAAAAGCTCGTAAGTCTCTCAGAGCAAATTTTACAGGAGACCAAAAAAACTTTACAACGTGGTCGTTTTAATATTCAGTTCTACATTTGTTTATTATATTTAAACTTATGCAACAACTTAACAATTTTTAAACTAGTTTTGTTTACATTTTTAACGTTTATTTAAAGAAAAGACTTAGGAGGTTTTGTTATGATAAATTTTATTTTAAGCATAGACATACAAGGTTTTAACTTAAAATAATTCATACACGTAGATAGTAATAAAATAATATTTTTTAAATGATAACATAAAAAATATTAAAAAAATAGCAAAACTTTAAAAACATATTATTGGTACTGAAGAGTCTTATAAAAAAGATGAAAATCATGTGGAATTTCCTTTTTTAGATCTTGGAGATGTTCATATTGCGACTTTTTTATAGCTAATGGAGCATTATAAAATTGTGGTATTTCTTCAGTGCCAGTAACTTGTTTTTTATTTCTTTTTATAAGTTGTAACCAGTCATTGTTAAAGTTTGTTTTAAAGTACACTAAACCTTCATTAGTGTACTTAAGGGCACACAAGTTGTTAACGGTTGCATCTGCAACTCTTACTCCTGGACGAATTGAAGTAAAAAAGGATAGTTTTGAATAATCTTTAAAGTACGTATGGCGTAGATATTCCACAGAATAAGGCGTTGGGTATCTTCTTGCCGATTTGCACGCGGAGAGGTAACCTGCAGGTGTATAAATCTCCTGATTACGGAGTTTCCGCTCAAAAAATCCTTCAAATTGTCTTTCTTTGATGAAAATCTGTCGCTTTTTCTTTGGATAACCTCGGGTTGAGCTGGTACAAGATCACTATCTACGTCAGTGTTGGAATTTCTATTAGGTTTTTGTAGTACCCAACTATGTGTTGACCACTCCCCAATATCAAGAGTATTATTAAACATCTTTTTGCATACTCTTACTCTAATGCCATTTTTCTTGAGGTAATATAAAAACGTGACGTCACGACGAGATATGCATTCTTTAAATTCTTTTTATCTTTGGGAGTAGAAGTGTCGACCAAGCTGCTGACGTAGGTTTTTCGTTGTTCCAAGTTTAGATTCTGCCAAAAACGTTTAAAAATATTTAATCGTTCCTCTTCTGTAAAAAGATTACATTTTATCTTCGTGTCGCTTCTGCTATGCTTGCAATTGCAAAAAGGTTTAATTTGCCGTGCTTTTCTTGGTTGATCACTCCATTTTCCATCACTCTTCTTAAGCCCTTTGTATTCCTCTCCCTTCATCCTTTTTTGCTTGTTTACATTTATTTCCCACTTGGTAAAATCGGATTTGCGCTTCCTTGTTTTTTTCTCAAGTGTTTTGGTACCTACATCCCCTTGAATACTCTTTGCTTCTTCCATTTGAGTTTCCACCTCATTTTCAATAGTTATGGAAGATAATGCTGCTTCCGCTTCATCATGTTCTAAATCCCCAGCTTCATTGTCATAAGGAATTGTTACTGTTGCTAGCGTGCCATCAGCCGCCACTTCGTATTCCTCAGTAGTACAAAGAAGAACTTGAAGATTTTCACTCTCTTTAGAGCTCTGATCTATATGACTGATATCTTTGACAATTTCCTTAGAACTGTGAGCAGGCTGTATCAAAATACCATCTTCTGGATCCTCTTTTTCCAAACTTTGAATGGAATTGGGCTGTAATCCATGTAAAGCCACATTTTCTTCGGATTTGTTAAGTAATGAGAGAATTCGCTTACTTCTTGCACTTAAAGTGCTTACTTTCAAAATCTGAAAACAATTAAAATGTTATTTTATAAAAAAAATATAGAAGGCTTTTTGTTTTGTTTATTTGATTCTTTTTACTTAATTATTTATAAAAGCAGAAAAAAATAAAATGTTTTATTTTAGTAAAACCTCTTATGTCTGAAAATCGCTGTAAAAAATTCGTTACGATGTTTATTAAAACCTCGTATGTCTAATTAGCGCCATAACTTTGACATTTGCTAATAAAATCAAATAAACTGAACAAATTAGAATATTTTTCTAAATATATTTATTTAATCTAAATGTAAAAAACATTACTTACCTTAGAACTGGATGAATTTTCCATGATTTGGAATTAAACTATTCAATTGAAACAACAACTAACTGAATTGTTGGGCGTTGTCGAACAAAATGCAGACTTACGAGGATTTGAAAGTAAAAGATTAAGACAATTTTGACATACGTGTTTTAAAAAAATAATCATAGATGGCGATATAGCTTAAGGAGGTTTCAAAGGTATTACTGGGAGATATAGAGCTGGATTTAAAATCGATATTCGCTAAAATCTCGTTTTTGAAAAAAGCGGACTTACAAGGTTTTAAAAGTAAAATGACGATATGAAGCTCTAAAGTCTATTAAACCTAAAAAGACAACTGGTCCAGACCATATTCCAGCTTTTATTTTAAAGGATTGTGCCTTTCAACTTGCTCCTCCGTTAACCACCCTCATAAATATATGCCTCAGGACATCAACAGTTTCAGATATTTGGAAGACCTCAAAAGTACGTCCAGTTTTTAAAAAGGGGGATAAAAGAGATATAACCAATTACAGACCAATATCCATAATATGCAACTTCTCCAAAATTTTTGAAATTTTATTGGAGAAAACCTTATATATTATATAGTAAAATGTTATCAGTCAATCAACAAGGGTTTATGAAAGGTCGTTCAACAGTCAGCAACCTGGTTACCGTCACACAATACATTGCTGAATCTATTGATGAGCGCGCCCAGACTGATGTCATCTACACAGATTTCTCAAAGGCATTTGACAGACTTGACCATGGTATTCTTCTTGGAAAACTTACAGGGTTTGGGTTGTCCCCCCTTTGATAAATCTCTTTCAGTGCTATTTAGTAAATCGTACTCAGTTTGTTCAGCTTAATGGGTTTAAGTCTGTCAAATTTGCAACAACATCTGGAGTTCTCCCTTCTGGGCCCGTTGCTATTTAATATTTTCATCAATGATATCTCGAGTGTAATTAAAGAGCAGTTTTTACTGTATGCAGATGATTTAAAATTATACAAGCGTGTGACAAGTATTGGCGACTGTGAACAACTTCACATGAACTTAAATCTAGTGGTTGAATGGTGTAACAATAATGAACTTGAATTTAACCCAATTAAATGTAAAGTTATGTCTATTACTTTAAAAACCGACCAAATAAAATATAATTATTTAATAGATGTCTCACTTCTGCGACCAGATACTTTTACAGATCTTGGGGTAATTTTTGATCCCGGATTGACCTTTATATGTCACATAGATAAAATAATTGAAACATCGTATGTATGGTTTTATAACTCGCTGTACCAGGGATTTCAAAGATGTAGCCACATTAAAAACGTTATATTACTCTCTTATAAGATCAAACCTTGAGTATGCGTCTGGAGTCCATTTTACCAACTTCACACGGATCGAATTGAAGCAGTTCAAAGGCGGTTTCTAAAATTACTGTGTTTAAAGAGGGATGGTGTTTATCCGCCAATCGGAGTACCATACCAAAATCTTCCAAGATATCACTTTTTAAGCCTCATAAAAAGACGTGAATACCATTGTTATGTGTTAGGGTTCAAAATTGTTGACGGTTTAATTGATTCTCCTAAATTGTTGAGAAAAATTGATATCTGCATTCTAAGAGTATCCTCTAGAAATTCTGACATATTTCACATATCTGTACCTCGCACAAATGTTCTGAAAATTCTCCATTTCATACTATTAGCCGCGTTGTGAATAGTGACATTGACATCTTCTCATGCAAACTTAGGAAAATAAAATATCATTTCCTAACTTAAAAAAAAATTGTGTTGTATTTTACCTACTAGCTGTTTACAAATTTTTGTATATTTTGTACCATTTAGTCTATATAATGTATGTGTTCTTTTATTCCTGCTCTGTAATTGGGATTGCATGTAGAGCATTATATTAAATAAATTAAATTAAACAAGAAAAGCTCTTTTTAACAATACAAAGTTTGTTCAATTCAGTTAATCCAAACGGGAGTTATTAAATAAAAAAAAGTTTAAACGTTTATAAAAACCTTCAAACAAATAATGTACCATTTATGTCTTTAGAATCATCATTTCCAAATGTATGTTAAATACACAACAAAAGATCCCCTCGTGGCCGCCGGGCCGTTTAAACTGGTAACGCCGATATTCGTTTCCTACTCACACTAATGCTCTCTGTAGTTTTTGCTTCAACATTAGCAAAGTGTATAATATGTATTTATTTAATGTGAATAAATTACTATTAACTAGCCGTGGGCGTTACGCCCCCTACCAGCCGTGTTATAAACTAGAAGAAAAAAAAGTGTGATTCATTTCATTGCCACTTTTACATTCATTTTGAGTAGGGCTCTGTCCAGTGTTTTGAAGTTGAGCAATAATCTTATATTTATTTTTTTTAGATATTCCTTTTTATATCAAAAAGTGGTTCACATTATTCAAGAGATTTTAAAAGAAACTTCCTATAATAAAAAGGATATATAATACAAAGTATATAATACATTTTTACTCACCAAATTTGAATAGCTTTAAGCCACATTAAGTTTGTTTACTTCCAAATTGATGGGAAATCAATTAAAACCAACAATAAAAATAAAATAAAAAGTTTATTCTGTTTATAAATATCACTTTTGTGCATAAAGAATATATATCAATGTTTATTAAAATAATTTAAAATACTATTCGACTTGAATTTTTTTACTCTAATATTATCCTCCCTCTCCCTGTTCCTCTTGTAATCTTCCCATAATTCTTGTTGCAAATCTTTAGGTAACTGCTGAAAAACACTAGTATCAATATTGGGAGGACATGCAATTTTACAAAGGGAATCATCTTTTTCAGAAGAGCAGTTTTCGTCACACTTTGATGGACCAGTTAATGTTTCTTCAGTTGTTACTTGTGGAATTGTTTCTGAACACAAATGTAATTCTGCTACAGGCAAATCTGATGGAGAATCAATATTTTCATTTGAATATTTTCGTTTCTTTATTGACGGCTCTAAATCATTATCTAGAGATATTGATAAAGAAGTTGGTACTTCAATGGTAGATGTGTCGCCTGTAAAATTGCTTTCAATGTCAGTTATTGATTGAACTTCAATATTTTTTTTGATAAATTGAGTTAGAAGGTTCTTAGTATTGGGTTTTTCAAAGAACTTTGTGAAAGATAAACCTAATAATGTTAAGTGATAGGGCTTATTAGTATCTACTAATTTTTTAAAAAGGTGCATTATAGTTGTCATAATTTTAGTTAAACTTCCTTCTGATATATTTTTTTTATTGATATTGAATAATGAAGGACTAATATTACACTGTCTTGTTTCTCTATTACTTCTTTCTTTGGACTTATCATACTTTCTAACTGTTAATTTTAAAGTCCTTGGTAACCTTCCATCTTCAGACAGTAAAATTATCAGCCTATTTAGAAGTTGTTCTAATTTTTCTTTGACCTCATTTTCTGCACTTATTACTCTACAACTATCTTCAATTCCTATAGAAAGAGGTTTTCCAGATGCTTTTACGACAGCATTATCTATTCCAAAACTAAGATCATGTATTAACTTAGTTTTTTCAGATCCTAAAAGATCATTTAACGTTGATGTATTAGAATTTTGCAATTCTTTAATGGTCATAATGCCAATAGAATTAAGTTGTCCAGCAAGAGTGACACCAATACCAGGGATCTTAGAAACAGAAGACAAACTTAGCATAAGTTCTACACTGTTATTTGGAAACACAACAGTTTGCTGATCTGGTTTATTAACACCACCAGCAATTTTTGCCAACAGTTTATTGTAACTAATTCCAGCACTACTTGTTAATAATAATTCCGATTTAATTTTATCACGCATTTCCTGAGCAATTACTGAACCTATTTGAAGTCTTAATTTACAACCACAATCGCAAAAATCACTAGCATCACCGAAAATATGTCCAACAGTTTCTGTATTTATATTACCAGTGTTTTTTAATCTCTCTTCAACCAAATTGGATACGTCTATATAGTTTTCATCTAATCCCAACCTTTCTACTAAGTTTGAATATGTCTGTAACAATTCAGTTACTTCATAAGATTTCTTTCTATAATCATGTAAATCTTCACCATTTACCAAAACGAGATTAGGGCATAGTTGCACTGCCTCAGTTACCAATTCACATTTGTTGACTCCATAACGTCTAGCAATGTAATTTGTAGTGACTACGATATTTTTTTGTTGTATGCCTAATGGAACTTCTTTTAATTGTGGATTTTTTATCATCTCAACTTGTGCATAAAAACAATCGAGATCTATGTGAATAATTGTCCTTGAGTGATCCTCTAATGAGCTACTTTCCATCTGAAACAAATTTATTACAAAAACAGATAGGGTATTTTTTTAATAATTCACCTTAAAATATTATGAGTTTTATAATGGTAAGATTTGAATTTCCTTTATGAACAAGAAGTACTAAGTACTTAAAGAAAATACCAAAAATTAGGGTTAGGATACAATTCTAAAATATTTAAAATTTCCATTATTCATTTCATGTGAATACAGGGTTGCCAGATCGTTAAGTTTGAATTCCCCAGTCAACAAAAATCGCCCAAATTTAGGACTTGTAGAAAAAATCCCCAAAAAAGTATTTGTTTGTTTTCGTAGATTATTATTTGTTATTTCTAGATTTAAAAAATTTTCGTGACTAAAATATTTCCTGATGTCTCTAAAATACCCCAAAATCCCATACAGCAAACACTATATTTCAGAAGTCTTTCAAAAATATTTCAAACGTTTCAAACATACCTATAACATTTCAAGCACAAGTTACCGAACTTGTTTAAAGTCTTTAGCATAGATTACTTGGTCTTTAGCGCGCATGATTCTTATGACGTGTGCGCGATTTCAAAGTGTTCAACTTTTGAATATAGGTTCTAGCGTTCCGTTATAGTTCAGTCGGATAGATTTGAGTCGAGTTATTCCCCAGGTAAATATTTTTTCCCCAGAACAAATTCCCAAAAATACACCAAAGAAAAAAATCCCCTCATTTTTGGGGAAAATCACCCAATCTGGCAACTCTGTGTAAATACATCGTATGTCGCAACCCCTTAGATATACCAACCCTTCCCACCTACAACTTTTGGGCCAGAAGAGTGCTTCAATATGGCAGAGTAGTGTTTCCGGTTTCCAGTGACGTAGAGCGTTAAAAAAGGATATAAAAATAATTATTTTCCTTTAAAATAAGCAAACTTTCAAGATCTTTGTTCATGGTACGTACTACTTAGGCAAGCTTTTTTTATATAAATATGGATCGGAACACAAATAAATTAAATTATTTATTTTTTGTTTGGAAGGATTTTGGGGTTTCGATTTAGTTAAAAATGTGCATACAAATAATGCCTCGTAGATTCAATAAATTAAATGCTATTTGTGGAAATTTACAATAAAGAAATTAGATGTATAATTTTGTTAAATATTTGAGTTTTATTTGTTATAAAAATGTTTCAACTGTTTTGGTTAAATATACAATTTCTATGTAATTTTTTCTTGTTTTAAATTATTTATTTTTCATAATAAACATCTTGTTAAATGACTTCTTTGTTTATTTATTAAATGTCGGAAGCATTAATAATGCCTTACTTGAAGAAAATGATACCAAAATTTTATCAACGAAATTGCAACTTTTGGTATTCTGATCTTATCAGAATATTATATATAGGAGAGCGATGAGGTATGGAAATAAATTTTGTCTTAACCTAAGTTATGCAGTAACTTAACTAAGAAACTTAGTTGTCCCGGCATTTTTAACCCACTTCAAAAAAGGAGGTTCTCATTTCGTCGTAATATTTTTTTTATGTATGTTCAGCGATAATTCTTTAACACAGTATCCGATTTCAATGATTTTTTTTGTTAGGAAGGGGGTATTTCAGGGGTGGTCCCATATTAATTTGGTCAAAATCTAATAATTGGGTCCATTAGAAAATCCTCAAACTCTTCATTTTTAATGTATGTTTGCGGTAATTCTTTTTACCATCTTGTCCAATTTCTATGATTCTTTTTTTGTTAGTAAGGGGGTACCTCTGGGGTGGCCCAATATAAATTTGGTCAAAATATAATTTTTGGGTCCATAAGAAAAATCCTCAAACTCTTCATTGTTTATGTATGTTTAGCGATAATTCTTTACCACCTTGTCCGGGTTCTGTGATTCTTTTTTTGTTAGTAAGGGGGTAACTCGGGGGTGGTCCCATATAAATTTGGTTAAGATGTGTGACGGCATCTGCACGATTTTGAAGTCGGTTTTTTAAAATAACTTTTAATATTTATTTGTCTTCACGCTCTTGTGTTGCCCTGATACCAAAATTGTATACATGAAATTGCAACTTTTGGTACTCAAATCTTTGTATCAGGACAACAGGAGAGCGACCTGGAAATTAATTTTGCGTTAGCCTAAATTATACAGTAACTTGATTGAGGAACTTAATTTTTCCGCCATTTTTGAAATATCTCATCACTCTTCTGTTATCCTGATAAAAAACTTTTATACACGAAATTCCATAGGATAACGGAAGAGTGAGAGGTATAGGATCTATTTAAAAAGGGGAAAATTATAATAATACTCTCCCTAATTCACCCCCTTACGAGTGAATTTTAACCCCAAAAGCTGAGCTTGTGCGGGGAAAGGGACGGCTATTATTATTATTTGCCGTGACGCTCCGGGGCGACTTAAAGATGATTGATGGTGCCATTTGACTTACAGGTGAGGAAAACCTCACCCACCAATCTTCGCTTACGCCAATTTAACTGGCTGATTTTGTATCAAGATAACAGGAATGCAAGGAGATATTTAAGAAATAATGGGAAAATGGACAAAATCTTTAGTTCTGCTCCGATCTTGATGCAACTTTGTATGCATATAAACGAAAGCACGAGGAATTACAGGATGCAGTTTGTTGCTTTCTATCTATATTTTTTAAAAAAAATTTTTGCTACATAATGCACACAAATATAAAGCCGTTTAAGAGTTATTCATTATAAACTTTGTAGTTGACAGGCAAAACAATAAACTAAAAAAAAAAAGGAAATTAAATACAACTTGTCAACAAGGATTTAATCAGGCAATGCCAGTGGACAATCTTCACGTTATACAACTTTGGCTGAATAGATCACCGACCTTGATATTAAACTGGATGGCTATATGACATAAACCCTACTCCTAATTTCTAAGCCGACATGGGTGAAAAAACGGTCGGTGCGCATGAAATTTGGACGCCAGACTGTCAATTTCGAACATTTACGTCACGTTGCCCACTACGACAAATTATATTATTTTATAATTATTATTTGGACATTTGTTTCAGCTGCGTATTAATCAAAAATCATTTTTAAGTGATTTTCATGAATCAAAAGGTGTCATAGTTGAATGTAATAAGTGTTAAATTTAATTTTGATGATCCTTTTTAGTGCATTTCGATACGCACATGTGAGCGCCAAAGTGTCAAATATCACCTCGCTATGTGGCTTGATTTTGTTGATCTGCTTTGTTCTTCCAGTTTAATATATAGTTCAGTGGAATAGATAGATTTATTTTAGTTTTACTATAATTATGATCTGTACAATTTCTATAGTGTACTTATAAATAATTAAAAAACATTGTAAATATATATAAAAAAATTTAATAAATAAAAAAGCTACATAATTTTTAATACATTGGAAATATCTGAAATATGTGGCTGAAAAAAAATCGAATTTTTTAACTATAATTAACAGCAACATATGTATCATTAATTAATATTATACATTCCTTAAATTGAAAAATATTGTTTTAACAGATCGTTAAGATTAATTGAAAATATGTAAAATGGTCCTCAGTTCAGATAAAAAACGTCGGAAAATAAAAATTACCTAAAATACATAAAATATATCTTTTTAAAATAACATTAAAACTTTGAAACTCAGATTCTTGTTAGTGGGAAAAAAATCATTACATGGAATGTATATGTTAAAAAAAAAACTAATTGTCCACTGTAGTAATGAGTGAAAATAAAAAGTAAAAATTTGTTTTTGCTTAAAATAATTATTTGAAAATAAACCTTTTCTAACATTCGAATTTTTTTTTTTCTTAAAATTTGAACTGAAGATCAGTTTATAAAAAAAGTTTGTTTTATGGTAAAGTTAAAATGTTAAACGAAATAAAATAAGTTTTAGAAAAACTTCTTGTGAATAAAACAAATACTTCTGGTTTGAAAGAAAATTCAGTTAATCCAAACAAAAAATTTAATATTGGTGTAGGGGTTTAAAAAAAAAAAAAAAATAAAAATAATACTGGTAGTAACATAATGTTTATAATTGAGAATTTAATTCCGTTTTGAAACATTTATTTATAAAATAACTGCCCAAAAAATATACAAATACTTTTGGTTATCAAATTACAGTAAAAAACTCCATACTAATACTGATATTAAGAGTCAGACAATATTAAAAGTGGATAATGTCTGAAAAGTTCATATGAAGATTAAGTTAAACATAAAAAATAAAATGTATTCGATATAAATAATCATTATTCACCACACAACAAACCCAAACAGCCAAAAATCAGGTGAATATTCAATCTTAATAATCAGAATATTTTACTTTTATTCTATTCCTTAATGGTTTAGTAATTCTTGAAGATAATTCAAATAGATTAAAAATTCGAAAAATATTTGTTAAAAACTGTTTCAAATGAAAAACATTTATTTTTGCCCTGAAAAATTGCATATGTATTTAAAAAATACATTTAATTATCCAATCTTGCATTAAGAATTTCATTTTTAAAATTGGGCAGTAGATATATCGAGTACTGAAGAAGTATTTTAAACATTTTTCAAATATTTCTGTAGAGTAAATCTATAAAAAAAACAATTTAGACAAAATTTTAGGGCGATTCTGTTAGATAGGCATTTCAAGGATTTTTAAAGATTTACTATTAATTTTATAGTTTAGGAGCCCACTGCAAAATGTTGGATCGATCACTAGTATGGTTAAATTTTCATGAAAATGTCGGGTAATATACTCTGCAATAGTAATCCGTCCGCAGCCGCACCAATATCGTTTGCGTTTTATGTTATAAAAAAATATTAACAATTGAAAATATTTGCCACCCTTCACCCATCGCTTTTTTGCTAAATTTTCTACTTAATCGATAGATAAATATTATATTCTACACCCTCGATGTTACACACTTATCGCTTTTATAGTCAAACTAAATACCGTTGGAAAAGTCGCAAAATTTCCAAAAAGAAAATACCCGGCTGCCGCGCGAAAGTATTTGCAAAACTTAGGCTGCCGCGATTTTGTGCGCGCGCAA